AAGGGGAAGGGAAGGGAATGGAGGGGGAGGGGAAGGGGAATGGAAAAAGGAAGGGGAAGGGAAGGGAAAGGGGAAGGAAAGGGAATGGGAAGGGAAGAGTATGGGAAAAGGAAGGGGAAAGAAAGGGGAAGGAAAGGGAAGGGAAGGGAAAGGAAGAAAAAAGAAAAGAAAAAAGCATGTAGGGTTTGTGCATTATGTGGGTGTCGGGAGATGACCATTAATGAGGAATCTGGATCAAGGCTATACAAGTGCTCTATGTATAATTCTTATAATTCTTCCGTAAGCTTGAAATTAATTCAAAATAAACAATGATAACTCGTTTACAGACGGACGCTAGGCTCTAGAAAAGCACAGGTTCTATTCTAACATAAGTTATTAGAGGGAACTTAGGAGAATGGGCAGATAGGGAGTCACCAGTAGCTTCCCTGATGGAGGCCGCAGAATGGAGTGCAGAAAGTGCCTACGAAGTCACCTGCAAGCATCAGCTGAAGGGAATCACTACGTCCTGAGAGCAGAGGACACACTAACCTCCTCTTTGCACGTAAATAACCAGAGAAAGCCATTTAGAGCACATAAGGACAGCTTTACCCAACCTGCTCCTGCCTCCCTCCAACCTGCTAGTGACCACCCCACCTCCTCCCTCCTCCCCCCAAAATCTGCTAGTGACCACCCACCTCCTGCCTCCTCCCCCATGGAGTTCTTTAAACTCTATTTTCTACTTCCAGTCCTTGCTGTTTATTCTGGAGCAGCAGCAGCACGGCCTGTGCAGTTTCTGCTACTTCCCTAGAGCTGCAGAAACATCCCAGTGAGGCCAAACAGCAGAAGCGGCCAGCACTTCATTTTTCATAGGAAAATGGAGAGCCCCCAAGGAAGGGAGGTCTGGTTCTTTGCCAAAAGTATCCTGAACAAAATATATTTTATATAAATCAAGGCCATGTGAAGAGTGGAAGCCAGAATTACAATGATTCAGAAAAAGGACCCTTTAGACCAGGTAGGTTTTGGGAAAGGATGTGGCTATCTCTGACATGTGCTTTAAACCCCGGACCTTGGCTGGACATGGTGGCTCACGCCTGTAATCCCAGCACAATGGGAGGTGGAGGTGGGCAGACTGCTTGAGCCCAGGAGTTAAAGACCAGCTTGGGTAACATGGTGAAACTGCATTTCTACAAAAAATACAAAAATTAGCCGGGTGTGGTAATGTGTGCCTGTAGTCCTAGCTACTTGAGAGGCTGAGGTGGAAGGATTGCTGAAACCTTGGGAGGTTGAGGCTACAATGAGTCCTAATCATGCCTTTCTGTACTCCATCCTGGGTGACACAGTGAGACCCTGTCTCAAAAATAAACAAATAAACCCTGGACCCAGTAACTTTTAAGCCTTTTTTTTTTTTTTTTTTTTTTAGACAGAGTCTCTCTCTGTCACCCAGTCTGGAGTGCACTGGTGCGACCACGGCTCACTGCAACCTCTGCCTCCCTAGTTCAAGTAATTCTCCTGCCTCAGCCTCCCGAGTTGCTGGGACTGTGGGTTTGACCCACCACACCCGGCTAATTTTTTGTGTTTTTAGTAGAGATGGGGTTTCACTGTGTCAGCCAAGATGGTCTCGACTTCTTGACCTCATAAACCGTCTGCCTCGGCCTGTAATCCCAAAGTGCTGGGATTAAGGCATGAGCCAATGTGCCCGGCTTTTTAAGCCTTTTAAAACTAAAAACTTGGGTTAAGAGAAATGGGGCTTTGGTTGAAAACAGTCATCTGGGGGTGTTGCTTGAAGCCCTGTGACTCCAATAGGCAAATAATCAATCCTTGTTCCTGCTCCTCAGGGGCGTCTCAGTAACTTCCTGGAGGGAAACTTTGTGAGTGCGGAGGGCAGGGTGCTCTCAGGGACAGAGCAGTGGCAGTAGTCACCTCTGTCCCTCCGTGTGGCTGCTGGATACGGGCCCACTGGGTGGAGAGCGAGGCACCACTGGGCCTTTGCAAGGCAACTGATGGCAAGGCAACTTTTTCTGGGGGGGCTGGTGAGGAGACTTGCATCTGACGATGGAGAAGCTACTGGGCAAGTTCATTTTCTGAGATTTTAATATGAAGCACTTTGTAACTGGGCATGAAAAGCACAGAAGCAGTATATACAATCAAGCAGGTGAATCATATTGTTCCATGTGGTGTTTCCACCTGAAACATTCTCTTAATCTTATGGTTTACCCGAAAGATGTCTGAAAATAGGAATCTGCTAACCCATGATAGAAGCATTGTAAAGGTTGGGGGGAATGCAATCAGGACCCAAATGCATTCCCAGAGAAATTCCCTCAGGACGTTTGCACAGCTCTGCGATGCTCCTGGGGTGAGCCACCTTCTGGTCCCTCCGAAGTGCATTCTTTAGACTACAAGGCTTCCTCTGGGAGCCCACGCCAGTCTGTCTCTAGCCATCTTGGCCTGCTCCAGAATTCTGACCTTTCCAAAACCTGCCTTCCAACATGGAAGGGCCTTCAAGAGTGACTCTGGTTGTGGACAAAGACTCAGGGACGAGGAGAAGTCTTCCTCCTTGGCGAAGGCCCCTCACACAAACAACGGACACTGGAACACAAAGACACTCTTCGGCTGTTAGTCTGGAGTCTTTAGGATTTTTTTAAAAAGAGGGTGGGAGGGAAGAAACCTGGCTGCGGCAAGATGCTTCATGAAAATCTTTGCAGGCTATAAGCTTGTAAAAAGCATATACTATATTTTGCTAGTTATTTATTTATTTATTTATTTTGAGACAAGGCCTCTGTCCCCCAGGCTAGAGTGCAGTGGCACAGTAATGGCTCATTGCAGCCTCCTTCTCCTGGGCTCCAGTGCTTTTCCCACCTCAGCCTCTCAAGTAGCTGGACTACAGGTATGCACCACTACACTTGGCTAATTTAAAAAGTTATTTGTAGAGATGCGGTTTCACTATGTTCCCCAGGCTGGTCTCCAAATCTTGGGCTCAAGAGCTTCTCCTACCTTGGCCTCCCAAAGTGCTGGGATTACAGGTGTGGCCCACCGCACCCAGTCACGTGAAAAGCAATATGGTGTAGATAATATATAATACTATATAGCTGATCCATAGAATAAAATCAGAATCCACGAGTTCATACTAATAAACAAATGGGGAAGAGGAAAAATTCTTCCATATAGTAGAACTCCAATTAGTAAGTGTAGAAGAAATAATGAAAATAGACAATCAACATTTGGCAAATGTTAAAGAAACAATATTTCAGGTCAGAATGAATCATCAAGGGATGCGAATGAGTGTGCAAAAGTTTGATGAGCGCAGGACATTCAGACAGTATCATCCCATAACATACTTATTAATTACCAGGAGAAAAACTGTAACTTCACAGTGAAGAAAGTTACCAGGTACCACTTAAAGCAATAATAAAGCAACAACGGGACAAACCAATGTGATGTGCCTGCTGACACAATGCACTGAGGATACAATGACACTTTCATGGTATTCTTGACCAAAATGGATTTAATCAAGAAAAAAAGAAAACTGAGGACACTGTACAAAATACCTGGCCAGTATGCACTGAGGTCATGAAAGACAAAGAAAAGGTGAAGAATGGCCAGGCAGTGTGGCTCATGCCTGTAATCCCAACACTTTGGGAGGCTGAGGTGGGTGGATCATTTGAGACCATCCTGGCCAACACAGGGACACCTCAACTCTACTAAAAATAGAAATATTAACCAGGCGTGGCAGTGTGCACCTTAGTCCCAGCTACCTGGGAGACAGCTGGGAGGACTGCTTGAGTCCAGAAGATGGAGGATACAATAAGTCGTGATCTTACCACTCACCACCGCACTCCAGCCTTGGGGACACAGTGAGACCCTGTCTCAAAAAAAAAGAAGAGAAAAGAAGAAAAAGGAAAGGGAAGGGAAAAAANAAAAAAAAAAAAAAAGAAAAGAAGAAAAAAGGAAAGAAAAAAAAGAAAAGATGAGGAACTACTCAAGATTAAAAGAGATAAGACCAAAGAAATCTGACAACTAAATGCATGATTACGGGGTCCTGGACCAGAAAAAGAGACCTCAATGGGACAGTGTTACCTTCTTGATTTGGGTACCTGTGGTTGTTATGTAAGATGTTAACATTCTCTTCGGAGGGCATGTGAGAATTTTTTGTCCTATTTTGGTAACTTCTTCTAAGGCTAAATTACACTTGAAAACATAAACATGAGGGATTAGACTTTAATACCCAGTGCCTGACACTGTAAAGCTTTGTAGGCTGACGTATGTCAGGGCTCCACATCCATGTGGGAAGCAGGTGTTGGGACCCATAGGGACCTTATCAGGGGCAAACTCAGGCCCTGAGGTTTATAGACACAATTCATGATAACCTTCAAAAGATGTAAAAATATCCCCAATGGGTTTCTGGGGAGGGTCACAGGCATGCCACGTCCCTCCTTCAGCCTCTGAAAGGAGCTGTGCGCTTCTAAGACCCAGTCATGACCTGGGCGCGAGAAATGCAGGCAGAAAACAGCGCATGCCCCTAACTTACTTATCCTGGGATTCGATGTACACATAGAGATGAGGCTCGAAGCACTTGGAAACGATGCCATGAAATGGATTGTCTGGGGCTTTGGGCTTCTTTGGCTGTAAAAACAAAGAAAAATAAACCCAATACTTGAGTGGTCTTTGCAAATGTTCAAGAATTTTTTTAAAAAACATCATTTCAAAGTTCAAAATACAAGGGTACTTGACGTAATTGAAGTGGGAAAACGTCGGCTTCACGATTCACCCCAGTAGGTGAACAAAACACCAGCTCTGTTAGCATCACTGGCTTGCTGTGGACGGTGGAAGACTTAGTGTTACTCTGATAACATACGCATTTTGAATCTGGAGCTGGTCATCATCTATCTGACTGGTGTTTTCCAGAATTTACATCCTGGCTAATAACAGCACCTTGTACTTGTATACTGCTTTAGAACTCATAAAGTGCTTTCACGCAATCCAATTTTTGACAGCCTCCACTTACTGATTGTTACTATAGGCCAACCACTTTGATACCAACGAATACATCACCTGTTCCTCACAATAACCCTTCATGTAGGTATCCCTACTACTTATACCACAAGAAATGAGGACTCAGAGGCTCTCTAACCTGCCCCAAGACATATGTAGAAGTCTGCTTTTCTTACTCTACAACTCTTTCTATTGTATCATGATTTTCCTGCAATGGTTCCCAGAAGGTTTTGAATTTCATCAGTAAGAAAATGTAACAAAAAGAAGGGTGGAGAGCCAATAGAGGGTTGTTACCTTTATTTTGCTACTTTCTATTCTTACCACAAGTTCCTAAAAAAATATATAGGTTTGTTTTTTTGAGACAGAGTCTCCCTCTGTAGCTCAGGCTAAAGTCCAGTGGCGCCATCTCAGCTCACTGCAACCTGTGCCTCTGGACTTAAGTGATTCTTGTGTCTGAGCCTCCTAAGTAGCTGGGATTACAGGTACGTGCCACTACGGCCAGCTAACTTTGGTCTTTTAAGTAGAGATGGGTTTTGCCATGTTGGCCTGGCTGGTCTCGAACTCCTGGCCTCAAGCGATCCACCTGCCTTGGCCTCTCAAAGTGCTGGGATTACAGGCATGAGGCATCGTGCCCAGCCAGAAAAAAGTATTTTATGTCCCAAATCTTATAAGAATAAAATAGCAACATATAGGCAGTACTTTCTGGAAAAGGACAGAAAGAGAGGGGAGAGAGAGAGAAAGAGATAGAGACACACACAGAGGGAGGGAAGCAGGCAGGCAGACTATACTGTCTACTTTTTTTTTTTTTTTTTTGCTTTAGGCCACTGTAACACTAGACCAGCACTGGTTCCCAGATTGTTACTTGGAAGCCACTGATAAAGAAGTCATATGACAGCCAAATATTTTAAAACTCTATGTGCTACTTAATTCCTTTCCAAATTAAAAAGTAAGCAAAGATTTTCCTACATGTTACTTTCTATTCCTAAAAAATGTCAATTCTGTCTATTGCCAAATGGCCACGAAATGACCCTGAGGCAAACACACCTTGCTGGGGCTGGTACTAGAATATAGTGTGTATGGAAACTGCACCCACAACATACTGGTTAAATTGAACTACTCAGATCTTATTTTTTTAACCCCACTTTACTGAGGTATGACTGACACTTTAAAAGGCCAACATATTTAATGTATATACAGCCAGTGCTCGACTTACGACCACGATTGGTTCCGACAGACGGGTCGTAACACGATTTGGTCATAAGTTGAGTAGGCTATATGCACGCGGAGATGGTAGTGTTGGCGGAAGCTGGTCCACACTATTGTACGCCCAGCTGGGCAACGTTTGCGCTGCCAGACGCGGAGCAGTCGTGGCTAGCAATTGTGGTCGTAAAGTCGAATGGTCATAAGTTGTATAGGTCATAAGTCGATCAATACCTGTATCCTAACGAGTTTGAGAATAAGTAAACACCCATGAACCCCTCACCACCACCAAGGCCATGTGTATCTACCACCTCCCCAAGCTCCCTCCCACCCCTTTAGTTGTTGTTATTATTACTTGTGGTAAAAATACTTAACATAAGATCTACCTCTTGAACTGCTTATATATTTTAATACATACTGGAAGAGCTAAGCCCCAATGACAGGCAAAAATGGTAATTACCTATTTCTGTTTTTTTAAAATAACACACTGCAATAGCTAAAAACAACTGTAAAAACTGATCTGTAAAAAAATGACCAAAAATTTAATGTCAACTTTAGACACACTCACTCAACCTAGTACTCAGCCCCTCCTCCCTTTCCACCTTCCAAGAGTTCAACGTCTTTAATTTTTTGCAAGGTTTCTAGAAACTCTGGTCCTTCCTAAGAATAAATACCATCTCCACTGTTTACTCTTATCATCTGGAAGCCACTGCCACAGTCAGGCCTCAGAGTAAGACCCCCACAGGGCCTCAGGGGCCACGCAAGACTGGCTGACTGGACTTGAATCTGCTGGATCTAGAATTCCACGCTAGTGCAGATGTCCTGGGAGTTTTTCTGCACTTCCATTAGTTTGAGATGAAGGCTCTATGATGGAGGATGAGGACTGTGAGGAGTGGTCCTCACCCATTTGTCCTTTTTTTTCCAAGTCAGTATCTATTTTTTATTACTGATTCCAAATGATGATTTAAGTGAATAGAAAAATGTAATTTGATTTGTCTGACTCTGTAAGACCAGATATTATGGTTTTAGATTCGGAAAACATGGCTACTACTAGCAGGTATCTTTTTATTAATTAAATAATAATTATAGGTATTATAGTTATTTTTTAATTTTTTTCTTCTTTTGAAGAAAATTCACATTCTGCAGGATAACTTCTGGTAATTACACATGGAAATTTACATAATACAGAATGTTGTCATTTAAAAAAATCAACATGTATATTTTCTGCTTTTGTTTTTTCTTTTTTTTTTTATTTTGAACAGGTATATTTTGTATTTTTACAGACTTACTAATTTATGTGTACTTTCCCAACTACGGACAATATTTTATCACTTTGAAACGGCTACATTATGAAAAATGACTTAAAATGTCTATAGATTATCTAATCTATAAGTCCATCTAATCTATATGTCTATCTAATAATCTATATGTCTATCTAATCTGTAGACTTAAAATGCCTATAGATAAGTATATAGACTTAAAAAGTCTATAGATTAGATAATATTACTGTACTGATGTAAAATTTTCTGATTTTGATCTATGGTAAATGAGTGAACTTACAAATTGTTCTAAAGGTGGAGGGAGTAGGGAGGAAATGATAGTTACATAGGAAAATGTTAACAGTTGCTGAATCCAGAAGAAAGATATTTACAAGCTCGTTGTAACTTTTCTCTTCATTTGACATTATTAACTGTCCCCGGAGGAAGCTGGGAGATGGGAAGGGGTCTGGATCCACTTCCTGGTTTGATGATGCACTATAGTACGTTAACTTTCCCCCTGGAGAAGGCTGAGAGATGGAAGGGTTGGATCCACTTCCTGGTTTGGTGATGCACTATAGTATGTTAACTGTCCCCTGGAGGAAGCTGGGAGATGGAAGGGTTGGATC